GTGTATATCATTTTACAAAAAATAAATAAATAAAAAAATACTCCAGTATAATTTTGTCACTGGCTTAGATCACTGAACTCAAACACAACATTTTGCTTTCTTTCTGTTTAAGAAACTTCATAAACTAATTAGGAACCATCACCTGAGTAAAAGCAAATAAACCATCTGTTCTGTCAATGACATACAGTGTCAAGACTCAAGTGTGATAATATTGAACAACACCATGCAGACACTGATCAAACAGTTCCTTCATTCAGCAAACAGACACTTATGCAGGCAGAAGGAAGCGTTGGAATGTGTGAGGGGTCAAAATTACACTTGCATAACAACAAAATATCTAGACTGTGGGTTAAAAATTAAACAATTGAAGTTATGAATAACAAAAAAAAAACTACTATTTTATACTTCTTAAATTGTATTACTATAAACGTTACTGAAAAAGAAACATGCAAACAATAATGAATAGACAAATTAAGTGCCTTTTGGAGTCCCGGTCAACTAAGACAGATTAAACTAATTAAAAACAGATGGTTTTGATTACAGRCGGTGTGCAATACTTTAACATTTTTCATTGATTCAGTACCAAGTAACCACATGGTAAGTGTTGCTGAGATTAATGTGGTATGATACTTTTACCCTTTAAAAACAGCCTATTCAGTTTTATGTTGGAAGAGCAGTGTGTAACATATCATGAATATATCAATCATTCAACAAAAATGAAATAAATAAAAAATTCTGAAAAAGAAATATTGTTCTTAATAATGTGACTGTTAGAATTGACACTGAATTCTGCTCYCCACTGTTAGTTAATTCAGCTCAGCTACTGTTTAGCTCAGCTTACATCTGTGGCTGGTCATGTGACTGAGCACAGCAGCAGAGTTAATGTGGGAGAGAGAGGAGAGGAAAAAAGCGTATTGATAGTTGTAAGACTTATATGATACATCAATGAGAGAATATAAGGACATTCAAAGAGAAAAAAAAAGTGGGAATAAAGAGCTAAGACCCTGGGTAAGGTAAGGGCCACCTTCTTTTATATAGTCTGTTTTTAAAGCTAAAAGGCAAGCTACTTCTTCCTCCTCATCCATTGATGCCATGGCTGAAATTGTGATAAATTAAGGAATTTGTCACGCGAGAATTAGGCATTCACTACGCTCAAGTACGAAGTCTTAACCGTCTGCAGACAGTACTCACAAAGTCTGTGTAGCTCACGGAGTAAGCACAGTATGCCCAACTGTGTGGGGGCCTTTAACAAGTATGCAACAATTATGAGTACTTGTA